CAGCCTGGGGGTCTTTGATGTCCTGAAGTCTCACATAACGCTAGCTCCCTGTCGTTTTTTTATGTTGGTTGCTTCGGGCAACCCCTCCTCCGTGCCTAAGTGGGGTGGGGGGTGGCAGCCAATTTATATGTAAATGAGGAATATCGGGAGTAACAAAGAGATTACAAAGACTGGGTCTTCCGTAAGGCCGGAAGTCACCTTAACACTACTCCTTTAACCTGGCTGATTGCAGGGATGAGGGTCAGACGGCCCCTCAGCACACCATCAACACATCTCATGGCGCCTCATGGAAATCCCCTAGTCATGTATCTTATGGCGTATCTCATGGTATGGCTCCAGTTGCTCCATTTAAGAGCGTTTGAGACATTTCTACAAAGGGTCTTGGACACCCCGTGTCCTTTCTTTGTCCTGAGGAGTTTTTTCTTTTTTGTTAGCCCCTCACAAAATGTAAACCTACTAGATCATCAGTAGGTTTTTCTTTCGTTCAGTCTTAACCCATGACAGGATAGACAATAAAATTTGAAATTACTAAATTCAGTTGCTGCCAGCTTTACACATATTCTGAAAAAAAACTGCTATAGAAGATAATTATATCATGGATACATTTCTTGCCTATTGCTTTCATTAAGATGCAGCTGTTCATAGGTGAAGGGACTGAACAATAAAGCTTTCAAACTATAGTGCTGGCGAGTTTTGTCAGCTGGACTAGATGAGCTGAGATGACAGTAAATTATCGTGTGCGTTTGGATGTTTGATCACTGTTATATGCTTATGTTCCTGTTTTGAAAAAAAGTTATTGGGGCTTTTTTGCCTGATTGTCCACACCGACCAAAGACATTCAGTATACTGAAGATCACAGAGGAAAACAATAGGGCAGACCATGTAAAAAAGAATGATGAAAAAAATCGATGAAATAAACAAAGCTGGAGAGAAAAAGGGAAAGGAATCTCTTTCCTCCCCTTATCTCTTCCAGTTATCTTAGATACTATTTGTAAACCACATATGTAAAATATTTAAGGTACAATGATTTCTTTTAGAAAATAATTACCTTGAACAATGGAAATAAAAACTGGCAGAATGTCACAGTGCTCATTCAGTGAATACCATGAATCTAATCCCATGATTCTGCACTTAAAGGAAAACTTTTGTTCCTGTAACTTTTCACAGGACTAAAACCCTAAGGTGCCTGGGTCCAACAGAACTCATGTGATGTCTCTGAGCTAGCATCAGTCAAGTGAACGAAATTTGCAGATCCTGCCTATTGCTTAACAATAAATAAGAAAAGAGAATGAATAAATATGAACGAACTCTAAAGCAATATGAACAAACTCTCTAATAACATAAAAACTGTGATAAAAACTGACTGCCCAGAAAATGTGGAAAACACCTGTAATTGAGAATGGCCCCCAGATCATGCAAAGTAACTTCTTTGCACGCATATCACTCAGCCACAGAAGATATTCTACAAAGATCAAGTTAAACCCAAGATCCTGGATAGGTCCCTTTCACCATACCCTTCTCAGAAGAAACAACAATACTGAACACTATCTATCTGCTTACATCCCAACCGTGTATGACTGAGGCTAAGTTACAACACATTATCACCATGCAGAAGTCATCTATTATTTGATTTCTGTTTCCATTTTGAATGCTTGAGTTTGGACAGTCACATGAACAAGACCTTTTATTTATTTCAGGGCCTGGAACTACCAAACTAGAAAAACGCAGACAAACCAGTGGCCAGCCAAGGGTCTCATTACAGAATCTGTGAGGTGTATTCATTGCCATGGAAACAAGAGAGGGACGACAAGCTGTAATTTCTGTCTTGCAAGAGAATATACCAGCCCGGCCAATAAATAAAGTTAGTAAATCAACAAATCAGAGCCAAGGTCAAGTAACTGAATATGAAGCAGCTAGGCTCCATGGGTCTCCTTTGTTATTAATAGTACTAAGGTACAAGTCTTTCAAGTTCCTTGGACTTATGACTTATGATGCAGATCCATCAAGGAAGTATTTGACTCAAAATAACACTCATTTTTTAGTATTTTTCACAGAAAAGTACCAGAAAGACAATAAAAATGTGCTCTACTTTTAAGTCACTACCCTTCATCTCACCCTGTTTTACTCTGCAAAGAGGTGTGCAGTGATAACCTTTGGAAGCAGAGCATTATGTTCAGCCAGTTACACTTGAATTACCAGATGCATAACAGTCCTCAAGAGGACTAATTGCCACACACCATTCTGCGAAAGTGCCTTATAAAGAGCAGTTTATTTTCACACCACCTCTGTGAGCCGTCCATGGACAGGTTATCCCTCCCAGAATGCAGATGTCAAAACACAATGGCACTGTGGAAGTGAATGTCAAGGCTGGGATTACATGTCTGTTCACATTTAAGACCTTCAGACCTCTTCTGTCTGCGTTTTATAACTAACAGGAAAGGGGGGCAGAGAGGCATAAAGCTGGGAAACCGAAAATACTGGAAGATGTTATTGCTGAAACTCTAGGAGTCTCCATGGAGCTGCAGTGCATTGGACACATGGCAGCCCATTCAAAGTGGCACCAAGGCGATGCTTGGTGGCCACTTAAGGGAGGTACCCCCAGTGACTGCCAGGTGTGAACTGCTAAGGCAGCAAACTGCTGCTGCTTTAGGAACTTGTGACTATAAACCCACTATCACTGCGTGAATGAAATTCACAGACTTATACCGTGCTTTTGAAACTTTCAGTAAGTTCAGTTATAGGAAACTTCCTGGTATAACACCAACTACCAGTGCACAGATGCATCTGCATAGGAACAACACCAATATATATTTGCTAAAAAAAACTCAAAAATAACAAACAGCAAGCCAAACTTAAATACCAGCTTGCTAACAATGGCTAGAGAAGTACGTGAGATCTAACAGTTTTTCCACAAGTTTTAGGTCACCTCCTGGAAACCTAGCTATTTTAGTGGAACGCAAAGAAGACCTCTGCTACACTCTTGAGATTAGCTACTGGCAACAGTAGACATAGTAACTCCACGGTGTATCTCTCTCACAAGTTTTACACTGCATGTAACAGCACCTATTAACCCCTCGACACTTTCTGATAATACTTAGATCACACAATATCTTTTTGCCAATTATTTTCTCTCTTACTCTTTTGGATGCAAGGTTTTTAAACTATGTTCCTTTATTAGTTTACCTATGAAGGACTTCAAAGAGCTGACAAACTTGAGCACACTGTTGAAAAACAGTGTTTTGCTGAAATCCATAGGCCGAAGGGGAAGAGGGGATCTGGGTATCATTTAGCCAGGTTGAGTGCCAGGCTGAGCACAAGACAGCAGGTGAGTGCAAGAATCACGTGACTTCTGACTTTTGAGTGGCTTTAGAAGTGGGGAGAAACAGGTTTAGCCAAGCCTAAAATGACCTTTGAAAAATCAGCCTGAGAAAACTGGCAGATCTGACCCCCAAAGCCGTTTTACCCAGCTCCTGGTAATGCCAGTCAGTTGGAAGCAGTCTGAAACGATGCATATGTGCTGTGGGGTAGGCGCGCAGGCCCAGCATGCTGCTGGCTGAGGTTATTAGGTTAATTGCACTACCACACGAATACAGCTCTGTCAGTCTGAGCTATGAATTATACAGAGAACAGAAGCAGCCACGAGGGAAACAGGAACTGGTCACTCCTGACCTGAAAAGGCATTTTGGGGTTACTCAGTTTAAAGGAGAAAAAAAAGTGAAGAAAAACAAGCCTAGTTCCTGACCTGAAAAGCTGTGATCCTGAACGTAGCAAAGGGATGTCATCATGTGTTTTATGCAAATTCTCATTGCTGCTATCAAGCATGCTAAGCGTTTGGTCCCATTTCTCTTCAAATCAACAGAAAAATGAAAACCATTACAGTCTGTGCCAGTTCAAAGCCAAGCTTTAGCATCTATCGCAGTTTTACCATTGCAACACTGCTGGCAGAGTGTGTATTTCTGAGAAGGATGGTATGGGAATGGCAGAAAAGGCAGGCAAAAGCAAACTTCACAGATAACAATTCAAATGTTGAAAGCCAGCCATATACAGGGACGTCATTTTACCAGGTGTATTGTTTTGTCTCTATGATAGATCTTCATTCGCTGGAATGGAAACAGCCTTACTCTAGTACTACTGAACTGCCAGTTGCGTTCAGGAGATATTTATAACCATTAACACTGTAGATGGAAGGTGAGTTTTAACCTATAGGTCATAGTTATTCCTTTGGCTGGAGAGTGGCTCTGTTTCTCACAGCTGCAATTGAATTGCAGAAGGCTCAATGTAGCTCCCCATCGTTTTCACTCTTTTCCTTGCACTGAACCATCCTTTCCGAGCTTAATTCACAGTTTTCTGGCTTCCCTTATCGCTCCTGCCTCGTGTCAGTGGCAAGCCAAGTTTGTGAGGAGCTGCCTTTCCCAGAGTTCACCCCACTGCCTGCTCGGGCTAGGAACGAGACAGACCCCTCTGTGCCCCTCTGCAGGAGGTGCCGGAGGGCCTGAACTTCGAATGGGGCCAAACTACATCGCCAGGCACTGGCCCCGTGCCCCCTTCTCGGTGCAGCCGCCAGACTCCTGGTCCCCAAACCGCGGCTGCCCACCTCCATTTCAGCCTGGGGGGAAAGTGGGGGGGAGAGGTAGAGTGTGGGGAGGGAGGTCGCTTTTCTTTTCGCAAGAAGATGCAATGTGGGCTGGGAGGGAAGGTGTCTCCCCGCTCCCTACGTCCTGCCAAACCACGACCCCTCAGGCACTCCTGCCCCACCCCCTCTCCTTGCACCGGCACCCCCTGTGCAGCCCAGGGGGGCACACCGACCCCTGCCACCGCACAGAGCTCGGCCACAAGGCCGGGGGGGCCTTGCCTCTGCCCGGTGAGGCTTCCCGGAGAGCCCTTGGCTGCGCACAAAGAGAGATACGGGGAATGTCGCCCGCCCCCGCGGCGGGCAGCGCTGGATGCACCACGCACACCCCCCCGCACACGCATCCACACACACGGTGCGGGTCACGTACCTGCAGGTGCCTGTCCGGGGAGCGCGGGGCGGGGAGGCTGCGCTGCACCGCCCGTATCGCATGGGGGGGTTACCGCGATACCGCTCGGGGGCTGCGGCGGGGGGGCTGCTCCGCTCCCTCCTCCCCCTCCTCCTCCTCCTCCTCCTCCTTTCCCGTGGTGTGTGCGGGGGTGTGTGGTACTCCGCGCCGGAGGAGGCAGCTGTGGGCTCCAGCTCCTGTCAGCCACCGGAAACCGGCTCCCGGTGCCCCGCACCGCAGGAAGTGTGCAATGGCACACCCGCACACCGGCCCCGCACACGGCCCGCACCGCGACGGGCGGGCGGGCGGCGGGAGGAGCGGCACGGCCGGCGCTGGGCAGGGCAGGGACACGGCCCCTCCCTGCGTGCGGCGCGGGGCGGCACAGACCCCCGGGGGCCAGGGACGGGGTGGTCGCCGTGCCGCTCTGCGCGGACACGGGCGAAGGGAGCCGCGTTCCCTCCGTTGCCGTGGGCAGGGGTGCTTCCTTCTGAAAACAGGGGGAAATGCGTGCACGTGAAGACGGGGGCTGTCCCACTAAGGAACACGTTCTCCACTGACATGAAACAACGTAATTCTTATTACTCTGGTGAAGGTCTGTTGGCTTAACGGCGGCTGAGTTACTCAAAGTAGTTGTGTCCAAAAAGCTGCCACTCGGTTGCTTCGTGCAGGTACAGAGATACACGATTTACTGTTACTTAATCTTTTTTTTTTTTTTTTAATGAGATCATAGGTACAGCACAATGCATTAATTTTACGTGGAGTATATACATGTGCACACACACGTGCACTCATCCTCCACCTGTATATAGGGCAATCAAAACTGCAGTTTATTTGTTGTGAAAATGACAACTTTCTTGATTTGCCTGCAAGTACAGATCCTATCAGCAACATTACTCACACTTGGATTTTTTTGCAATTAATCATGCAAGGGCTCACGTGTGCTTGCAGCATTTTCTCTGGGTGTTGGTTCTCCCACAATAAGTAAGGTACATGCCAAACTCTACTCATCTCCTCAGTTGGGCTTTTTTCCTCTGCCTTGTTATATCACTCCAGAAGGAGACAGGCCTGGCTATCAGCCTTCCAAGCCGGCTGCTTCATGCCCCAGAGGTTTCCTTTCCTCATCTTCCTTATGCCAACATTTGCAAAACTTGAATGGGCTAACACATGCTACCAGCTACGATGGCAACAATGCTTATGCAAGAGTATAATGGAGGCAATCTGGAAGTGTATTCATGCCAAAAGTAATGCTCTTTCTGGGTTTGCCTGTGATGCAGCAGGGGAATTTGGTAGCAGTGTTAGGCTTGCTTAGGGAAGATTGCCATCCCTTCTGCTCTTTTAATTTTTAGTAAGATGTCATTGTCATGTTGCTGCACCTCAGCAAAGGCCTTTAATACTTTAAAATCAAGGGTTCGGTGGTAGACTCCTAAAGACAGAGAACCCTAAATGTAAGAAAAAGTAACTACTCCAGGGAGTCAAGGGAGAGTCTGCCTCTGTCCATCATGATCAAACATGTGACACCCTGCTTCCACATCTTGCTTTTAGTGTGAAGACCTATAGTCAAAGCACTGGCAATATTGAGGACAAGACCACAACCTTCCTGGACTCTGCTGTGCCCACAAGGTCCTGCCAGGGGCAGGGATGAGCTGCTCTTCAGGGACATGCTCCCACAGCACTCCATGGGCCATCAAACACATCTCCTGGGCAAGAGAGTGCGTGAGTTATATTGGTTGAAACCAGTGCTCTGTTTGCCTCCAAGATGGGAGCTGCTGGGCTGCCTTTTAAAGGTCAAATAGTTACACTTTCAAAAATTATGACAATAGGAATTCCTGAAGAGAAGGACTGCCTTTATCTCTGGAATCCTTACAATCAGGCACATCAGCTGCGCTCAGGCAACACAAGGGGTTTGCTCTTCACCACTGGTCTTCAATCTTGTTCACTCCTTTGTATTTTTTTCTTTGCTTTTCTCTTTTTCTATCATGCTCTTTTATGGCAACAGGACAAAGTACCTCCAAGCCTACCTTCCTTGCACCTTCTTCCTCAGTTCTTCCTACTCCTTCTTCACTTCCTCATTGTGAACAGCCCCAGGTCAATGCTGTCTCCGCACGCTTTAATCAAAAGAAGGTTTGAAAATGCTTCTCAAACCTCTGACATGGTTGCTTGGCTATTGTGCCCTATTATCATCATGGGGTTGTACACAGGGCTGTAATTGCATCAGAGTGTTCTGGTTCATATCGTGTTTGCTGTCAAAGAGCTCAGCTAGCCTGGAATAATGTCACCAGCACTAGGCACAGAACTGCAGTTCTGCATGAGCTCATTTTAGCTCACAGTCTGCATTGGTAACTGCACTGGGAGGGCAGCGATCATGTGTGCCGAGGTTTCAGAGAAAGCAAGGTTTTCTCCAGGAAGGAAAGCTGCTGCTATTGACATGACAGAACTGTGCTGGCTGCTCTAAGGTGGGCAGACAGACTGCCCTGCCTCTGCAAAGCTGAGGGACTGCTGTGGTGAGGAGGTGTTATTGCTGATCATTTCTGCTCCTATTCCTCACTTGGCATAAAACACATTGAGGCAGAGGTCTGAGTGTTGGCATGGACACCTGCTGGAGGTGCTAAGCACCTCTGCAGGCCCAGCTGAGGCAGCAGGGTCCTGTCATTAATGCAGTGGGCTGAGGAAGAAGGTGTATCACATCGTCATTCCAGATCTGACATGAATTTTTTTCTGTGACCTCTGATAATTTACTAACCTGTGTGTACCCATCTGTACTATGACCATTTATTAGCCCTATCAGGCTGTGTGACAAGGGTAAATTGTCTCATTCAGGCCCCAGTGCCAGGAAAACTACTGCTCATGGTGCTCAGTGGAAGCTCATGTTCTGCCCATCAGAACTCCTGGGCACCCTGACAGGTAACCTGCCATCCCATTAACACCAATGCCACCAGGAGGGCAAAAACAAGGGGCAAGTGCAAAAGCATCTCAGATCCCACAAGAACCAAGCCTTTTGCGGAGAAAGACTGGCTGGGCCAGTGCCTGTGAAATAGGACACAAGTTGTCTAACAGGAGAGAAAGGAATCACTGCCCTCTTGTTTGGAAACACCTGACTGTCTGCTTGAAGAGAGGTCCAAAAGCCATTGTGATTGACATCTACATCAGAGTGCAGGTGCCACCACCTCTTAGAAAACATGGGGACACCAAGTGACTGCATGGCTTTGTTATGAACCCACTCAGCTTCCCCAGCATCCCCTCAGCACCGCATTGATCAACCAGGAACAGAGCAGAGCTTGGCTTTTCCCAGTGATACCCTTTGTGAGATAAGATGTCCACCGACTGGGCATATTCCTCATTCATGCAGGACTGGTAGGTGAACTGGGATTCAAGCTGAGTGGTTTGTTTCTGCCACCCAGCTCTACCCTGCGTTTGACCCACACAGCAAGAAAGCAACAAATGAGTCACACCCCTATAGTCTGTGCCCTGGCTGTGCTTGCTCCCTCCTGCCTAGATGAGAAGGGTGTGTCAGCATGCCCATAGGCTCTCCATCGGTCCCCACCAGCAGTCATGAGCCTGATCCTGTGCCAGACACCTTGCCAGCTGAAACACAAAGGTGAAACAGCACCCCAGGTAAAATCCCCCAGCTCTCACAGGAGGGAAGCTGCCCTGGGAGGTGATGAACAACCTGGGATGAAGACAGGGGCAATCAGAAATACTTCTGTTTTTAGCAGAAGGTTGGCCATATGCTACGGACCAAGCATAGGACGAGAGCAGTTGGGTTGAGAGCGAAAAACAAGAAAGGTCAAGAACGGTCTGTTTGACCAGATGTAGGTTTTAAATCAAGACTGATTACTTCACAGGAGGAAGAGCAGGATCAGGCCACTGCCACAATAGGCTGTTGTTTGCATCAGTTCACCACAGGTTCCCATTAGCATGTCTCCTCCAATGGCTGCTGACTGTGGCTGGCATCAGCCAAATGCAGATCACAAAACTGTCTCATCACAGTAGGAATACCCTGCTGTGTTTTTCAAAGGTATATTCCTCAGAGGAATGTGTGCCCAACCAAAATAGCTTCAAGAAGTTAAGCTGGAACAATTTTTGAGACAGGAAAAATTGCTGCACGGCCAATATCTTGCTGAAAAAGGCAACCCCTTGAAACAGCAGTGTGAGTTAAAAGATTCTTCTTCATTTTTAGACTTCATTAGCTGTGACCCAAGCATGATTTTATCCCATCGGTCAGCTGGAGCATGGAGAGAGTAGTATCTGGAGGGTCTCAGAAAGCCCAAGAAGAGCTCAGTGCCTGGCAGAACCTTGTGGTCTTCCACATTGCCTCCTCCTCTGTACCACTGTGAGGGATGCCTGTTTCAGACAGCCTTCCAGCATGCAAGCAGACACCTGGATCTTCACTGAGGCTTCCTCCACCTCAACACGGATTGCAAAGGTATGAGCACAAAAAAATCTGGGGAGCCAGCTTCCCATCCCAAAAGTCTGTGTGTTAGTCTGGAACACTCCTGCAGTCCCTCTCAGAGGATTAAACACAAGGTAGATCCACCCAGCCTTTGCTCACACACTTCTCTGGATGAAAGGGCTTGGTGAGAAACAGGTGTCTGCCATCCAGTATTAATGGGTTGGACAAGGGGTGGGTTCCCTGGTGGGACATCAGTGCATTGGAAGGCAGAGCAACAGGCATGTCTGTGGGGCAGGTACAATCACAGACACCCAGCCATGAGGACTGGAAGTCAAGGACAGCAAGGTAGGTGGCACTTTCCTTCAGAACTGCAGGAAAACAAGTGGTCTGACTTGCAGACAACTGGTGTGACGAGTGGAGGTGGGGTATTACAACACTCTCCTGGAACATTGGGGGTTAGTGTATAAGGAGTCCTTCTATTGTGGACCATGCAGAGGGCTTTGTATCCCTGTGTTTTCAGTGGCAGTGCAGCAAAGCTAGGCTGGTGTAACCCAGGAAAAACACCCAGCCTTTGGGTCCATTCTAAATTTTTTCGCACCCTGTCTGGGGCAGCTGACAACCAGACAGAAGTACCTGTTAGTTTTCTCCGCTAAGACCTCGGATTGTCATGTTTGGCAGCCACCTTTCCTTCACATGTGCATAATGCTGTAGGAAACACTGCAGACAAATCCTGTCCTTGTGGTCATCACAAGGATATTTCATAGTAACACCCGAGCATATCAGAGCAGAACTAACTTGCTGCTGGTCCTTCCTTTGTTAGTTATAGTACCACGCTGCAACTAACAATTAGTAGTAACACAGGAAAAGGAATATGAAGATAAGCCCCCATGGTGCTTGTGAAAATTCTGTGCTGCTTCATGAGAGGCTTGAAATACCCTTGAGAAGCTAGTCTGTGCATTTTCAGAGTTGTCACCATACAATTCTGTTTTGTATTAAGTTCCTGTGGATTTTAATTTAGTTTACTTTCCAGGCTCCTCTTGTCTGCTATGGCTTCACAGAGTCCAAGAAGTCGAATTGTCAGTACTCATTACACTTTTATTACACAAATTAAGCAGTCTCCATTGTTTTTTCTCATGGAAGAACAAGTGATGTTGACAATGCTCTCTGTGTGTAAATCAGACAGAATACGAACTGCTGCATTACAGAAAATCTGATTTCTTCAATGTTTGCTTAGAAGACAGAGCTTTTACAAAAATTATTTAAAATGTAAAGAATTATCTTCTTTCAGTATTAAAAATTATTTCAGTTTTAGGTGATGTCATAGGTGAGTAACATACATGTCTCACAGGCAAAAAAAGACTAACCTGCAAAATAAAAAAGCAGAGTCATAGAAAGCCTTGACGAACTGCGTATACTGTACAGCTTCCCCAGAGCAGCCATCTGCAAGAGGCGGTTGAGATAGAAAAAAACAGGACTGGAGTTCTCCATTAACTGGATAGCAACTTCCTTTTGCTTTGGGAATTCCCATAATGACAGTAGAAACACCTGGTTTTTTTGTGGCAACAGTGTGCAAGTGTCAGCTGTTGCATGACAGGTAAGGCAGAGCAATTTAAACAAAAATCTGAATAATGAGTATGGTAAAAGTGTGTAATAACAGCTTAACAAGAAACCCACTTGAAAGCAACCAGGAGACTTGTCACTATAAGATGTGCTAATTATACAATGGAAATTTGGCTGACAGCAAGAACATACAGTGTGTAATTTCTGTATATGAGATAAGGACAATGGCTGTTTCTATGTCTAAGAAACCAGGATGCTTTGGTCTCAGCCTGTGGCCTCAAGTTATTCCCTAATGCACTTTACAACACCGAGAATGGCTTTAAAACATAACTGGGTCATGCTCTTCACCCACTTGTATTGCTCAACATGAGGCAACCATGTTATTCTTTTGTTCCCTCCATTTTTGGCCTGGTAAACTTCAAAGTTTGAGAGACCTGTTTCAGTGAATAGATGTGACCTAGACACTCTGCTTTTACAGTAAATTCTGGATCACAAAATTCTCTTCTATCACATTTAATTATTTAGCAGAAATAGTAAGCTCTTACCTTATAAAGAAAGAGCTCACAATATCCTTCTGGACAAAATGTTATGAATCATATTAATTATGTTTCTAGGTAAAAAAAAGTCTAGAACTCCATACCCTGATTTTGTGTTATTTATTCACCCAATACCACATCTCACACATACTCACACTCCATTAGAACAAAGATAACGATTGAAGATAATGATGATATGATATTTATCCCTCACCCTGCTAAAGCTTTAACCATGGATTGAAAGGTATGTTTTCAGAGTTGTTGCTCATGCTTTGTGATTCCTATCAGTGGGAGAGTGAGAACAGGGAAATAAGCCTAAAATCACCATTCACACCATTCAAGAAATTTAACAGAACATACTTTTTCTTTCTTGCTTCACTTTCTGGTAAGCTTAATCATAGAACTTGAGCTTAACCATAGAGCTTGAGCCATGCAGAAACACTGTGTGCACTTTCCTGCTGCCTTGGTTATGAAGTTCTAATGTGGCCTCTGAGACCAACCTTGTGATCACAATTTCATTGCATAAACACTCCTTTAGCACTGAGCAGCAAACGCCAGACACATCAGCTGCTGCACAAAGACAACTATAAGTGCCTTCACCTTTGCACCAAGGGCCTCCCATGCACCCTGCATAGTTTGCCTTTCACTTGCAGCCCTGCAGCCTTCCACCTGAATTGCTGTGCAGGCTTTTTCCCTTCTCCTTCCTGTGCTATTGCTTTTGTGATATTATCCTCATGGCCTTCCACTTGCAAACCTCAGTATTCTAATAAGTTCTCATAGAAAGCAACTGCTGATAGTCTGAGAATCCACCATTTCTTTCCCCTGTGTTTCATATCTGGTTTGTAACTTTAGGTTACATTAGGGGAAAAATAAGAGCTAGCAAATAGAAAAGTATATAATAATCAGGTAAATATTCAGTGAGCATTACCAGCCATAAATATGCACTAAGTGGAGTGACTGACATGCACCACCTGTGACTGATTAAATGGGATCTCGTCAGCACTGACAGCATCACATACAGGAACAACCCAGAGGTAGCTTGGCTAGGTCCTAATACCAAGCACAGAGTTAAAAGAGGAAAAAGCCTGAAAAGAATAACTATATACATCTTCCTCATCCTTACTGCTAGCAGGCTCTGGAAAGGACACTCTTCTTGGGGTCACATTGCTTCACTTCTTGGCTGGCTACTGTCAGGCACTTCCTTCTCTTTCCATTTATTTTCCTTATGGTAACTCCAACTTGATGTGTGGACTTCACCGATAAAAGTCTGTGCAGGTAAACCTGCCTCAAGAGGTGTGATGATACAGTGATTATAGTTGGCAAGGTCTTATCCTCAGCCCCTTGTGGAAACAGAGGGAAGCAGAGCTAGCTATAGTCCACCCCAGTAAAAATACTGACTCTATGTACTATTGCTTGAGCTAATTATATTTAGTTAGTCAAAGCTTAGCTTTGTTATATAAAGCAACATCTTGTTCCAGGATAGAATGCTGCACAGAACTAAGATTAAGCAACACTCCATTATATGGACTGAGATTCAGTGGGTTTAATTTTTGTCAAAGTTTTAAGCATCCAGACCAATATTCTTGCAAACCAAGGCTGTCCCTAACAACAAAGTATTACACCCTCGCTGATTATTTTAGTGGGAGAGATAAGAATGACAAGTCTTGGTGCTCTGTCACCTAGAAGTACACCCTCTCCCTTCTGGAGCAGGGACTGTACCAAAAGCAGGGGGAGGGACATGAGAGGCTGCAAGGCATAGACGCAGATTTTGATGCTGCCGCAAATCTGGGTATCCTACCCTATCGCACATTTGACCCCTGCTTTGAGCAGAAAAGATATTGCTGCACTTTGGCGAGTTTGGCCCTTTAGGACGCCCGCGCAACGCTGGCAGCGCTCGGAAGCGCTGGGTGCCCAAAGGCAAGGTTCTGCAGTGGGCTGCCTGCTCCCTCTGCTGGCAGCGGCCGCTCCGTCGGTACCGGCGCCTCTAAACTCCGCCGGAGGAGCTGGAACTGTGCTGAAGACGGGGGAGAGAAGACATCAAAACAAATCCCTTGAGAACATGAGGCATGAGTTTACATCTCCTTCCAGTGTGATGGATGAGCCATCAGTCCTGCTCACTACCGTCAGCAGCAAACAGATCGTGTCTGTGCCTTACGTAGGTCCTGGAGCTGTTCTGTTCCTTTATCATCACCCAGAAAACCTGTAGTTTTACCATCATCCAGAAAACCAGTTACCCACAGTAGCGAAACAATCACAGTTTGTTTAGCCACTTCATTTTTATGGGTATCAAAAACTGTGAAGTGAGCAATGGATTAAAAAGCAACACAGTTTTGACCTCATGTAAAAATCCTCTGCAGAATGTGAATACCTGCAGTAATTCCTCTACTGTAGCACCCATTCTAGCTCTTGTCCTCACAGTGCACAGTGGACTGGCTCGTTTTTCAGTCATGTTTTTTTTTACAGTAAAAACTCCAGAAATGGCATAATATGAGAATTTGTAATGCAAGGATCGAATATCCCTAACACTCTGGATCACTGGGTCCCACAGTACCCATGGCAAGGCACAGCCACCGCACCACTTATTCTAAAGATTCTGACCCTGGTGAGCTCCCACTCCTCCACCATGCAAGCACCACTGCTGATATGTTAGAGAGAGAAGAAACACAGTGGCCAGTTGGAGGCAGGTTGTGCTGCTCTGGATCCATCTGAAACAAAAGCACTTTTCTTCTGAAGATGATACCTTTCTCTAGGTGTCACAGGCATCACAGTACCTCGCCAAATGACACTACAGTTATCAGCCATGTTATGCAAGAGCAGTATTACTGACTACACAAGAAGCACATGCACCATTAACTACCCACATAGCCAGGGAAGCAAATAAACACATTCTGTCTTCAGGTGCCAGGACACAGTTAACGTACTGGATGCTGCACACCTTTCCTCTCCACCCCAGTAACCCTGAAAAGCAAAAATTCTTTGGCAGAAAAGTTGCACAGAAAGGAAAATTGCAAAGACATGGGGTTGCTTGTGAAACAGGTATGAAATTAAACAAGCTTGCTCCTAATAGCCAAGTTCTGTCATCTGCTTCAGTTTTTTAAGTGTCACAGAGCGGCATTTGAAAATGTACTTTGAATATACATGTTCACTTGAAAAATGTTTTCTAGAATCAGTAGATTTCAAAAGATGTATTTCAAGTATTTCAAGGTGGCTCCCTAAAGAAATAAAATATATGTAGCCATATTTTTCATGCAAGCACATACACTGTGTTTTCCAATAGCTTGAAATCATCAGCCTTTTTTAATAACATCTGATAGGGGTGGTCAGTTCCTATAAGCTTGAAACATCAGAATTTTGGGACACAGTTTTTATTTTAATCATTACAGCAAGTTATTAAAAATGTTCTCTGTTGGATATTATATTCAAACTGAGTTGTAACTTCTCTAAAAATTATAAAATCTATTGAATACTTATACACCATCAAAAAGAAATGATGACTGGCACTTTAAAAAAGCACTGTAATTATATATGAAAGGCCAGTATTTCTGCTAGTGTTCAAAATTTATCTGTGGCAGACTTGACGGTAGAACTGTGTCACCTTTAACACTAGAATTTCCTGACATGAAAGCCATGAATGGCTTTAGCTTATCTAAAAAGAGAAACAGAATCATTAGAAAATGGAAAGGACCTGGATATAGGCTGTGCAGAGGAAACAGTAATATTCTTAGAGTAAGATCTTCAAGTTCTTTAGAAATTCTGCTTTGGAATATACTTCATGGTTTTATCCATGGGGTAAAAATCAGATGCTGCAATTAAATCTCATACAATTAAAATCTCTCAGTCTAACAATGTATTTATCTATCTATCTATCTATATTTCACAATAGGAAAGCCCTTTGCTGAAAATGATGAGGCTGATTAATTAAAATAGAATTTACTTTTCCAGTTCATTTGTAGAAGTATTTTGAGGTCTTGATTATAATGATTAACTTAATGGATAAATTCTTTCTTCATGAATAATCTGTTCTCTTCTGATTTCATTTTGAAGCTTGCTAAAGAAGGTTCAGAATTGTTTTGAATAGTGATAAATGCAAAAATCACACTTACAAAGAAGTGTAGCAATTTAACATTGTGAAAGTTCTGATACTGCCTCTTGTCCAACAGAATTTCACCAATACCTACCTTTTCTAGAGCCAGAAAACACACTGTAAGAGGGCCAGTTGTATCCTGTTACTTAGTGAAATTATTAGATTATGACTGATTTTAATGGAGAAAAGACCATATAACTCAGATGTCTCAGGGGAAGTGAAAGAAATCAGGTTATTATCCTACCAAGTCCTCCTGTAAAAGCAGTGCACATTTAGGAAACACTGCGTAGAGATGCGCAGAACACAGATACAACACATTGACTGGATTCTTTCTGAAGCTACGCTGGCTGCTAAAATGTCAATACCTGGTTAATAAAAGCAGAATAAGCTTTTATTCTCTTCCTGTTCACAAAACACAGGAGTCCAGAAAAATGCAAGCACTTCTGGCCTGTACTTTCTCCTGAGCCACAAAAAGCTGAAAGCTCCTCCATCCCAGATCAGAAAGTGAGATGCCAGTCTCCTCCCCCATCAGCAGAAGGTTTTCTGGGCACCGGTCTGACAAAGGCCTTTGTCCCTCACCTGTGAACATTTTCACAAAGTCAGCACTCGACATGCTCATAACCACATCAGCTGTCCCAGGAGGCTTCCCAAAGCCAGTGCTCCCACCCTTGTTCTTCAGGTCGATATACCACGTGCCTCCACCGTCACCTGCACAGAGAATGAAGAGAGGTGAGGAGGCAGCAAAGGCGCTCTGCCCTCCCTCCCATTTGGGGGCAGGCAAAGCCAACCCCTGGCAGGTGACCCCAGCCCCACGTGCCCATGTGGGGACACGGGCAGGAGAGCCCAAAGGCTGCCCTTCGCTCACAGACCTGGAGGCAGCGGGTGTTTCAAGGAGACCCTGGGAGCACCCCTGCCTGTCCTCACGCCAACCCTGTGAGGGAGGGCAGCGACAGTGACAAAGGCTCCGCCTACGGCGGGAGTGGCAGCAGCTCCCTGTGCCTGCTGGAGGTCCTGAGAAGGAGCATCACAGCAGAACAGGAGAGGAGCTGTTCTGTTTCGGCATCCACTTGAAAAGGTGAGTGCTTCTGTTTGAAATCACTGAGTGCCTTTTGCTAGGGAAGGTTTCCCATTTGATGCTCTTACCAGATAATTCAAACTGAAAGACGCCCTGAGTACTTCTCACATTCTCTTCCGTCATGGCCCCCTCAATAACTCTGAATGTTTCTGCAACAGGCCCGGATGGCTTGGCTGGAGCAGATTCTGTCTTCTCCTCTTTCAATGCTTGGGCAGCACCTGCAAGAATTTAACTTTTCTGCCAAGTCTTCTAAGCTGTTAATCGATTTACTGCTTTTGTTGCCAAGTTTTGGAACTCTCTAGATATGGCCAAAGAGTCATGTTTAGAAAGGAGCCGTTGTTTATTCTGATCAGGGTGCACGGTGGAAGTTTTCCACAAATCAAACATACCAAGGAGTGAAAAGTGAGAGAATTTACACATTGAAATCTACATAAACCCACTTATTTAATATATAGTTACCACCTAGCTATCGCATAATTGTTTATCTTGCACAAGGTGTGCCACTGCCTGTGAGGAGATGTGGGTTCCTCTTCTGCGTCTCTGGTTTTCTCTGATGGTCATTTGGTGAGGTACCCTATATTCCGTTTCCAGCAAAGTTCAGTTCAGGGCTCCCAGAACCCCAGGTTGAGTGCCAAAGAAGACATCATCTTAGACAATTGCCAAACTGGTTGTAAAACACAAAAGCTTTCCACAAACATCGAGCAACATCTGCTTAACACAAATGATAGCATCTTTTTACACTCAAAAGAGGGGTTAAAGGTGAGAATGATGCTGTTGGGTTCCATCTGCAACAGAGATCAAAGGAAGGGACAGGGACAGCGAATTCTGCTTAAAGATACAGAGAAATCTACTTAAAACACAGAGAATTCTGCTTAAAGTCATCAATTTGATCAGCATTCTACTTTACTGCAGCGAACATGCGCATTTAACAATAATGGACAGCTTTTGCAATTTATGAGGCAAATCAAAGTGAACAGCCTATAAAATGCTGTTGAAAGTCTATTAGGTGCCTACAATATCAAAAAATAGTTAGGTCTGTAAACCATGCAAATTTCATGCTTCAACAGACTGTTTCTGGTATAATTTAGCAAGACAGATCATATGACACTCCTACAAAATGTGCTATTTTCCATTTGATTTTTTTTTTCCAGCAATATTTACTTTTACTGGTCTTTAAATTTTTTTAATTGCCTTTTAAAAAATATTTTTATTGCTTTTTCCAGCAATATTTACCTGTGACCTTCAGCATAAAAAAGGATTCTTCAAAATAAGGCACTGATTATAAATCACAAAGGTTTCAAAGTCCTGTGGAAGGTAACATTTTTTCACTAGCTTTGAATACAGAGGCTCTGCAGCCACTTCCATAAATCTCACCCTCCAAATGAGAGAAAAGGGCTTTTGTCAAGCAGCTTGAATGAAGTCCAAGTTCTTGGGAGAAAAAGCAAACCAACCAACTTGAAATCCAAGTGGCATTCATTATCACCAGAATTGATCAACTTGTACATACAGTGCTTTTCCTGCCATATCTATCTACCTTCACTGCTGTCATCAAAACTAGAAACCTTGTAAAGCTGCAAAGAAAAATGTTTGAAGATATGAAACCATGTCATCGGCTGATATATAGTAATATAGACATTGTTCTGGACAATGAAAAAACAAAGTTATGAGTTAGGGAATTGCAACCAATTTAATTAATTATCATTTAACTACGTAACTATTTTGTTACTAAAAAATGAAAAAAACTTAGAACTCACCTCAACTCTCCTCTACAGTCCTTACTCATTTCTAATAAATTCTTAGATTTTGTGCCAAATTTGTGAATTCCTTCTACTAACAGTATACTTATAAGTGTCCTTAACTGTTGTTGTTAAATATCCAAATATTATTTAATATTCCAATCAAATAGTGGTGAGTTTAAGGGGAATATTTTAAATATAATGATTCTTCTGCTAAAAATTCTCTTCTTAGTATGTTGACATAACAACAGTATTCATTAGGGTGCACATTTGGTAATGAATGGAGGAAACAATATCATGCTGACCGTGGGATGGAAATACCAGTGATCTATGCCCCTGGTGTACTATATGATCTTGCACAAGTGGTTTTCCTCAGTTTGCCTCCCTTTCCAACTGAAAAATGTCATATTTCTACCTATTTCTATATTCTTTTTGAGATATATTCATTAAAAGCAATGCTTTAAGACTTGAATGATGATAAAATGTCAAATGCCACTCAAAAACACAGGAGGCCGGAAGGGAGGCAGCAAGTTTGTTGGGATTGTCATCTGGAGGACACATGGTGTGTTCAGAGCCAATTGCTGGCCTGAAAGATCTCCTCACTGTCTTGATGACACGCAGGGCCCAGCTGACAGTGCTCACCAGGACCTTGCCACCTCCTTCTCCACAGCTGCATCTCCTTCCTCAGGTGAACCCAGCTCAGCCACAGGTGAAGGCTGGGGAGTGAGAAGCAGCTGGCAGAGGGAGGCTCCAGCAGAGACGGGTTTGCTGTGGCAGCCAGGGAGGCTTTGCTGAAACACAACACCGCAGCAGTTGCCTGAATTTGCGTAAGTGAAAAGGCTGATGGGCAAAATACCTGGCCCCACAGAGTTAAAGAAGTAGCTCTTGAAAAAGAAGGGCCTACCATGTTCTCCTGTGAGTAGCTGGGTGGTCGGGGGCCAGCTCTGCTCCAGGATGAATGCTGTACCATCAGAGGGAAGGGCAATTTGGGGAGTGGGGGGATCCTCCACCGCATCTTTGTAGAGATGCAGAGCACTGGACTGCAAGCACAGATGCAGGAGTGCTCAGCCCATGGTAAACCTGTGCTCCCCTGCTGCCCACCACTTGCAGGGCTAACATGCAGGCACTGGAAAGCTACTGAAAGCCAGTGCTCGAGCGTTCCACCTTCTATAGTGCCTTTTCAAATGTTCTCTGCTTCTCATGCTAAAAAACCTTCCGGGACATAAACTGACTCTCCTGGTATAGAAAAAAGCCCCATCACTCCAGTTCCCCTATTATATACTGGAGAGAAAAAAAATACTTGAGGGGAGGAAGGTTGGACGTGATGCCAAGGAGCTTCTCCTGCAGGAACTTCTGTGCATGGCTGAAACCAGCAGCTCTATACACACAGGCATGATGGCTTGCTTCTGTAGAGCACACTGCAGGCATGAGGCTTTCAGTCCTGGCATGCACCTGTGGCAGATAAGCCCTGCCCTGCTCATATGGGCTGAGTAGCTACAGAGAGAAAGGAGAAGCATGCCTGAAGAACATTTTATCAAAGCTCTTTCAGTTCCATCTGTGTGGGATACCAGCCTTGGGAAAGCAGGTGGCATGAGAGATGTTCCAGCTGCAAAGTGTTCAGACAGCCCTTGGCCTCATCAGCCTACTCATGCATTGTTCCTGCAGGAGTCTGCAGCAGAAGTGAACCAACAGCCATAATTATGCCAACACATAAGAAGTAGCACATCTGCTTATGGCTGACTTTGTTTTCTGTTTAAGTCAGTAAAACCATCCATCTCAATTCTTCTAGCAGGTTCAGATACACCAAGTGACTTCCCCTTCTGCCACCAGCTCCCAGCGAAACGCAAGTCCCTCTCAGGATGCTGTGCAAGACCTCTGCATGAAAGCTGAAAGGGAAATACAAGCCAAAAGTAGAACCTGATAGAAGACTTGCCAACCATAGCAACAGGTAGGCAGCATAGCAAGGTCAGGAGGAGGTCAGAGCCTTCCTTTGGCAACAGAAGCAGGAGGAGGAAGAGTTATGTGTGTGTGTGTGTGCATGTGGTGGTGCAGGACATGGAGGTGAGGGCCAACCTCGCAGTTATTAGGAAATCAGAGAGGGACTAGAGGAGGAGGTGAAGGAGAGGGCAGCCGTGGCTGGATGAGCAATGACAGATAATCCTGCTGCAGGCTTTCTGATGAATAAGGAATCACAGAATCATCAGGGTTGGAACGGACCTCTGATCTAGTCCAATCACCATGTCAAGCCAGGGTCACCTACAGTAGGTGACACAGGAATGGGTTTTGAATGTCTCCAGAGAGGGGGACTTCAGGACCACACCCCCACTCTCCCCCAGAGCAGCCTGTTCCCATACTCTACCACACTCAAAATAAATAAGTTCTTTCTCATGTTGAAGTGAAACTTCTTCTGTTTTAGTTTATGGCCATTACTCCTCATCCTGTTGCTGGGCACCACTGAAAAGAGTCAGACACCATCCTCTTGGCACCCACCTTTGAGATATTTATATGCATTAATGAGATCCCCTCTCAGTCTTCTCCAGACTAAACAGACCCAACTCCCGCAGCCTCTCCTCTTAAGAGAGATACTCCAGACCCCTCATCATCTTTGTTGCCCTCCACTGGGCCCTCTTTCTTGTCCTGAGGAGCCAGAACTGGACACAGCACTCCAGAAAGTGGGATGGCGGCAAAGCCTCCACTGATTTGAGTGGGACCCACAAGACAGTTCAGGCCAAAGCATAGTTTCACACACCTGGCAGAGAACGAAAGAATGCGGGAAACCTCCCGATTCAACGTTTCATCCCACACAGGCCCGCTCCACACCCAGGCTGGCTCGCACCCCGCGACCACACCACCCCCGCTCCCTCCTCAGCCTCGGGCGGCCGCTCCGGCGGCTCCTCGCTGGGGTCCGCGGCGCTGCCCCCGCCCCGCCGGCCGGGCCGCTCCGCCCCGATGAGGCGCGGCGGCTGCGCGGCCCGCGGGATCGCCGCCGCCATGCTGCCCAACACCGGGTAAGGTGCCCCGTCCCGCCCGGGCCCCGCGCCCCGCTCCGCAGGGCCGGGCCGGGGGGATGCCCCGGCACAGCCGCGGCTGCTCGGCCGCCGCAGGGCCCTCGGGGCGGGCTGGGCTGGGCTGGGGCCGCCGCGGGGGCTCGCGGGACGCTCCCGTGCGCGGTGCTGCCCTGCCCTCGGTGCGGGGCCAGCCGGGAGAGGGCGGTGGTAGCGCAGGACGCCGTGTCCCGGTGGCCGTGGGGAGCAGCCCGGGGGCTATGCCGGCCGAGGGTCCCCGGGACCCTCGGGGCGAGCGCTTCGTGCCAGTGCCCTTGAGCGGCGCGTTTTGCGGTGGAAATAGTTACTGGAGGGTTTTAACGTAGATTCGGCAGTGTATCTGTAACTTTATACACATAAAATTATTCTTCCCTGTCTTGTGCCAAGCCAGTACCTGCTTACCTGGCAGTCAGATTTTTTTCCAATATAGGATCTTTTCTGCCTTTTAGCCTTTCAGAGGCCAGCACTGCTAACAGCTAGGAAGATAAATTGTTATTATTAGTTTCTGTATGTTATAAACAGGATTATTCATTAAAATCCTAGGGTCTGTGTGAGCTCTAAACAGTGTCCCTGATGTGACTTGCACGTTTCTGCATTACTAGTCATTCCTTGTGGGAAAGGAACCTATCTTATTGTCTTTCAAGATCCCCAGGACTGCAGGGCACAGAGATGAATTCGACATATTCTGTCTTATTTCCAGAATTCAGCCATGATGGAAACAATACATATGCAACCTTCGCAATACAGGTTGTAAACAATTTTGGACAGGCACATGCTTTATAAACTTGTAAACTATTGGGCTGCTAAGCGAACTAAGAAATAAACCCAAAGTCTTACAAGTATGAGTTAACAAACCACTACCTCCAAGCCTGACCAACCAGCTAGTTTTTTACTAGTTTGTGCACCCATCCAGATCATATCATCATATCTTAAATATGAAGCAAAAATATTGTGACAGAGGATGTTGAAAGCCTTACATTTACCCGTCCCATTGAGCAAAGGGCCTGCTTTTACTGCCAGTGTAGCAGGAGGAGTCCCCGTGTCTTTCGCAAATCTCAGCTGCAGGTGAACTTTGGTTTTCCTGGCACCACCCCAATATGGCTGGTAATGTTTCTGTTTCCTTCTTTGTGACCTGTCTTTAATCCCACTATCTGTATAACACTTATGTTTATGGGAGCTGATTTACATGTTCCCTGCAAAGCCATGCTGGTCTTCTGGTACATCTACTTGTCTTTCTGAATGGACCAGTCTTGCCCTTGGCCGGGCTTAAAGCCCCATCAGCTTTCCTCAGCCTCTTTCTCCTCTAAAGTTGCCTCTTGCTGGACCCCATTTACCTCTTCCCTGACTAAGGAGGATTCTGCTGACTTCACATTGGTTGGTTAAAGGCAGAAGACAGACTCTGGCCTTACATGACTGAGTTTTGCAGTTTGACTGTATTGCAGAATTGAACTTCACTCATTGTGCATGTGACTTGACTCTTGGCAGCAGTTTTTTGTGATTCACTGTGCTGTTTAGATATTTTTTTTCATGTGCCTTTCTAGAACTCAATTTTGCAGATGAAAGCTCTTTGAAATGGCATCTGCAGGACTTTGTTGACTTCCTGGGATGCTATAGATGCCTTCCCCCTTGCAGGGGAAGATCACTCGCCCTTTCTGCCCCATTCCGGTTTTCTGCCTTCGGAAAGCAAACACTCTCCTAGAGAGCATTTAAGGGGTGGATGTTCTCAGATTTAGAGGGGAAAAAACACATCTGAAAACAGATGTGGAGAAACAGTACTAAGTCTGGTCAATCTAAAAGGAAAACTAATGCAGGCTTGGAGGCTGGTGTGTAATATTTGTAATGGAAGCAAAAAGTGAAGTCACCATTACACAGTTTTTATGCATTCTCTTACTGAAGTTAAAAACTCTTGCTTTTGCTGCAGAGTTACAGAAAACAGCATGAGCTTTATGCAGAACACTGAAACACACATTCCTTCATATGGAGTACCTGTGGTCTAAGAAACTTTATTTTTGAATATACTTTAAAATGGAGTTGATATTTCTCTTTTCAAAAATTCAGTGACATTATGTCAGCCAGACATCTTTCCTGTATTCTAAAATGTATTTCTCCAGAGGTTTTGATTGAACTTGTTCTTTTGGAGGACCCACTGGATTAAATGCAGTTACTGAAAAACTGTTGAGCATAGAAGATTTAAGAGAAATAATTGCCATTTCTGAAAATAAAGTTTTTGCATATAGCATTGTGGTTCTGGCCTTGGAACTTTATACTACATTGAGACAGCAGTTCTTTGTGTATGGAGAACTGTGACAAGTAAATTACAGACATCTGTGTAGGTGTGTTGTCTCCTTAGAAACTGGCACTTCGTTTTTAGGAATTACTCCTTTTCCACTGTTGGAGAATGTAGCAGCTCTGTTGTAAACAGTGTGTGGGATCATTTTACAAAGAGGGAGAAATGTAACTGGGTGACCTGTGTAACCTTCTTGCTTTATAATGTTTGCAAACTTGGGGAATGGTCTTAGTTCACTGGTGCTTTGCTGTAGCTGTAGCCATCCCTTTTGTGCTTGAAGGCTGTTTTGTTAGTAAAACGATGAGGGTATTTGTCTGGTTGAGAGACTGCACTAATTACTTTTTTGCTTAGAGAGTGATAAAAGTCAATGATTTACACCTTTTTCTTTGTCCTCCTCTTTACCCTCCACTTACCCCTTCACCTTCAGGAAACTGGCAGGATGCACCCTCTTCATCACAGGCGCAAGTCGAGGCATTGGCAAAGCCATTGCTTTGAAAGCTGCTAAGGATGGTGCAAACATTGTGATAGCTGCCAAGACAGCTGAGCCCCATCCTACTCTTCCAGGGACTATCTACACCGCTGCAGAAGAAAGTGAGTTTTAACAAATGAAAGTCGGTTTCAGGTGCTAGGCTGGGTGTAAGCTTACTTGTCATACCTGAGTGGAAAAATGCATAGATATTCCAGTTTACCTTTACTTAAATAAGCTTAGTTCTTCTCTGGCCTCTCAGGAATGCTGTAGTGTTACTGTAATGAAGATGTATGTGTATATAAATGTAAAAATACCATGTTACTTGAGATGTATGAAATACACATTCACAGTGTTAAGATTTGATTTTGGCTTCCCTGTTCGTTATACAACACATAAAGAGGCACAATTTGAGAGTATGATTTTCAGTGCCTTCTTGAAGCATGTTGTTGCATCAGAGGTTGTCAGAAGGTTCATATTATTTGTGCCGTCTGAGAGCAAATTTTTAAATGTTTAATTTTTTAATTGTACAGTTGAAGCGGCTGGAGGAAAGGCTTTGCCCTGCGTTGTTAATGTGAGAGAAGAAGAGCAAATTATTAGTGCTGTGGAGAAAGCTGTGAAGACTTTTGGAGGTATGTTAATAGTGTGGGGGAGACATGAACAGGCAGATTGTTCAAACAAAAAGAGAAAAGAACAGCTGCCTTACTCGGGCTTTTTGTCTTTAAATGTTAGTGTGAAACGACTTATTTTTAAACCAGGGATTGACATTTTGGTGAACAATGCAAGCGCCATCTCTTTGACTGGCACTTTGGAAACAGCAACGAAGAAGGTCAATCTTATGATGGATGTCAATGTACGAGGAACCTACCTTACGTAAGTGCTGAGTGAAGGAATCAGAGTAATTGTAACAGAATGTATGATGTTTTTCTCAGTTTTTCTGAGAAATTTTGTATTTGTATTGCTGACCTAGAGTTGGAGTGTAATTATTCTACATGTGCTCACAGGGTTATTGGTCAACTGTTTGAAATTAATATTTGTAAGAATTAATTGCAAGTTGAAGTAAACAGGAACCTTATTACTGTAGTCATTAAGTGTTCACAAGCATCTCCATGCATGTAGGAAGAAGAAACTAGTTTGTTTCAAATGGTGCTCCAGCTTGGCTTTGCAAAATGCTGATGCTCTTACATTTCAAGCAAAATGACTAAATCTTTGCATATATCAGGTGCAATATCTTATTTGTCAGTTTCCTCCTCATAAGCTTTTAATCTTTAGAGACCTTTTATAACATAGCATAGCTAAAAGAGAAATGTTAAAGATATCTAACTTAATGATCTAAAGTGTTCTCCACCTACTTTTGACTTATCAGTTCTATCATTTATTTAAATTAACAAAGATTTGATTTCACTATTTCTCTGGTCCTTATTTTGCACATTTTTGGGGGTGGATTCAGTGGGTCGGATCATCTTTTCATATACAGGAAGTCATTTAGAGCTCTGTCTTAAAAAGAAGGTCTTGATTTTGACAGAGTTTAAGAAAAAATCCCTTAGGATGATGCAGATTCTCAAAATAAATTGTTGCCTGATATGATCAGAAGGTTTCTTATCAAAGTATTATCACAGAATCATAGAATAGTTTGGGTTGGAAGGGACCTTTAAAGGTCATCTAGTCCAACCCTCCAGTCTAGAATAGTGTCTGGTTTTGTGCAGATGAATCTGGTTATCAGGTATTATGATTATATGCATTAATGTCATTTTGCTAAGAGTAAGTGAACAAATTTGCTATTTAAATAGCGTAAAAACACAGAAGTAGCACCTTTCTGAATTAGAGAGATGTGCTCAGCATGGAGAGAGAAAGAGGATGGAAGAAAGAAAGACTGCTTTCAGAGTGGCATTTCTGTGCTTTCATTTGGTGACATATACTTTTGATAGGCTGTGTTTCTGTGCTCAAAAAGGCAAATTGAGTTTGGAGTTATGACATTCCATAAAATCCTCTATGTGTATCTTTGGATAAATCTCTGAATGGATTCCACTGTATTGAATGGCAAGTTCCATCTCTTCCTCTCTACCCACTAGCGACAATCACTTTCTTGGTGTTACATGTAGGTATTCCAAATTAATGGGGAATTCTTAAAGTCATCTTTGCTTTTGGTCCTATTCTGCCTTGAAAAGATCAAAAAGCAGGTTCTGTGTGCTGCAAATGGAAGACTGTATGAAAGATTAATGCCTGTCAAGGGAAGTGGTCTTTTTCATTGCTTTTGTAACTCTCAGTTAAGAAAACCTAGTCAAGCGTTTCTGCCTTTTCTTCCCCTTGCTTTGTATTTTGATTCTGTTTGTAATTTGTTTTCAGTGTAATGTTCAGAAAATTACAGTGGTTAAAAAACAGGGGTGTGGATTTTTTTTCCCCGTGGAGGACGTCGGGAAGACGTCCCATCTTACAGAGTGTACTTGTTGACATAGAATCATGGAATCATTGAATCGTAGAATAGATTGAGTTGGAAGGGACCTTAAAGATCATGTAGTTCCAAGCCCCCACCAGAGGCAGTGACATCTCCTACTAGACCAGGCTCAGAGCTCCATCCAGCCTGACTTTGAACACTTCAAGGGATGGGGAATCTACATCTTCTTAGGCAACCTGTTCCAGTGCCTCACCACCTTCACAGTAAAGTATTTCTTCCTAATATCTAATCTAAACCCATCTACTTTGAATTTAAAACCATTCCTTCTAGTTCTATCACTCCATGCCCTTGTAGAAAGTCTGATCTCCAACCTTCTTGTAGGCCCCTTTATGTACTGGAAGTCTGCAGTAAGGTCAGCCCAGAACCTTCTCTTCTCCAGGCTGAATAACCCGAACTCTCTCAGCCTGCCCTTGGTGTTCCTTCCCTCTGATCATCTTGGTGGCCCTCCTTTGGACTTGCCTCAACAGATCGATGTCCTTCTTGTGTCGGGGGCCCCAGAGCTGGATGCAGCATTCCAGGTGGGAACTCACCAGAGCAGAGCAGAGGGGCAGAATCCCCTCCCTCAGCCTGCTGGACACATACCTTTTATGAAGCCCAGAACATGACTGACTTTCAGGAGTGCAGGTGCACATTGCTGGGTCATGCTCAGCCTCTCATCCACCAGCACCCCAAGTCCTTCTTGGCAGGGCTGCTCTCAATTTGTTCATTTCCTGGCCTTTGCTGATACCTAGGGTTGCCCTGGCCCAGGTGCAGCTCCTTGCACTCGATCTTTTTAAGGTTCATGAGATTCCCATGGGCCCACTTCTAGAGCTTGACCAGCTCCCTGTAGATGGCATCCTGTCCTTCAGGTGTGGCAACTGCACCACTAAGCTTGATGTCATCAGCAAATTTGCTGAGGGTGTGCTTGATCCCTTTGTCTGTGTCATTAATGAAGCTATGGAATAATGCTTGTCTCAATGCCAACTGGGGGGACACCCCTTATCACTGGTGCTAGGCTGTCCATCATGACTTGGAGCCATTGAGCGCTACCCCCTGGACGTGACCACCCAACCAATTCCTTATCCACTGAACAGTCTACCCATCAAATCCTTTTCTCTCCAGTTTAGAGAGAAGACTGTTAAGAGGAACCACATGTAAAGCTTTAGAGAAGTCCAGATAAATGACATCTCTAGCCCTTCCCTTGTCCGCTGATGTAGTCACTCCACCATAGAAAGCCACTAGGTTGGTCAGGCAAGACTTTTCCTTGGTGAAGCTGTGCAGGCTGTCCCAAATCACCTCCCTGTCCTCCATGTGCCTTAGCATAGCTTTTAGGAGGATCTGTTTCCCAGGCGCGGAGGTAAGACTGACACGTCAGTAGTTCCCAGTCCTCCTTTCTACCCTTTTTTAAGATAGGTGCAATGTTTCCCTTTTTCCAGTCGTGTGGGATTTCACCTGGCTGCCTGCCATGATTTTTCAAATATGGAGAGTGCTTGGCAACTACATCAGCCAATTCCCTCAGAACTATGAGATGCCTCTTATCAGGTTCCACAGACTTATGTATGTTCAGGTTCCTCAGGTGGTCATGAACCTGATCTTCACTTACAGTGGGAAGCACTTTGCTTCCCCAGTCCCCATCCTGCTGTCCATCCACTCAAGAGGAGCAGGAGGAGAGGTTGCCATTGAAGGCTGAGGCAAAAAGCTGGTTTTGTACCTCAGCCTTCCCCTCATTAGTTGTTAACAGTTTTCCAGACTTGCTTATCCCAGAGTGGGGGATGGTGTGTGCGTGTACATGCTTTTTTTGCCTGTCTTTTCTGACTGACATATCTGTAGAACCCCTTCTTACTGTTCTTTGCATGTCTTGCAAAGTTCAGCTCTGGCTTCATTTTGGGCTTTCTCACCCCATCCCTACACAACTGGCCTGTGCCCCTGTACTCTTTCTAGGATACTTGCCCCTGCTTCTATTGCCTGTGCATTTGCTTCTTGACCCTTAGTTTGACCAGCAGTTCCATACTCAGCCACCCTGGTCTCTTGCCTTCCTTGTCTGATTCCTTTCACCTGGGGATCCCTAGCTCTTGCCTCTATGCAAAGCATCCCTAAAGATCTGTCAGCTCTGTTCTGCTCCCTTGTCCTTGGGCCAGCTTTGCAGGGGGTCCTACTGTCTAACTTCTTGAAGAACTGGAATTCTGCTCTTTTGGAATTCAGGGCCTGACTTTACTCTGCCTGAGTCATATCCCTCTGGTCTGTGAACTCCACCAGTGCGTGATCACATCTCCAGTTAGCTCTCTTACCTTCATGGCCATCAGATCCAGTATGGCATTCCCTCTGGTAGGGCTATAACCTGGGTCAGGAAATTATGCTCCATGCATTCCATGGATGCATTCCTGGATTGCTTACAGGTCACTGTACTACTTTCCCAGCAGATGTCAGGGTGATTGAAGTCCCCCAGCAGATCAAGAGCCTGTGAGCGCGATGTCTCCTGTGGCTGGAGGATCAAGGCCTCTTCAATGGGCTCCCCTTGGTCAGCGGCCTGTAGTGACTCCAGCCACAAGGTTCCCTTTGTTGCCCACAGGCTTTCAAGCTGTTCACAACTGTTCTTCAGACAGAGCTCTTCACACTCAATCCATCTGTTGGTGTAAACAGCAACCCCTATATTTCTCCTTCCCTTCCTGACCCCTTTGAACAGCCTGTAGCCATTGATAGCTGCACTTTAGTCATGGGATTCATCCCACCAAGCTTCAGTAATGGCAACCCAGTCATGTGTTCGGTTCCTATGCATCAAGAAGCCGAGACTTCAGTTAGTGAGCTTCCCATGCTGCCACTGAAAAGAGTGGAGACCTCAGGACATTTAAGCAGGTGTTAAATTAATTATTTTATTACTGTAATGATTTTGCTATTGAAGGAGTTCCCTCTGTGGCTGACACTGTGAATGGGTCCTCTTGAAATAAGTGGCGATGCTTTTGCCTTATGAAGCTTGATTAAAAATTCTCAAGCAGAGATCAAATGCAAACATGTATCCTAGTGCTAGAAATGAAGTCATATGACAGTTTCTATGAAGTAAAAGTTATGATTTACAGATGTGTAAATTCAAAGGATAATTCTCTAAGCAGAGAACGGATTTTCAGTTTTGCCTGGAATATTCGTAATAGCGTTCCACTCTGCAATAGTATGTCTTCAACCTGGTTTTAAAGAACAAATAGGTATGGGTTCAAAAGACAATGTATTTGTTACTAAATGATGCTCTGCACAGTTAATTTTGCTTATTGCCTTATAGTGTTTTGTTGCTTCTACCAGAACTATTACAAGGAGATTTATGGCTTCTGACCATCTGGAAAATCAGCGTCAGTTGATGCTGATGCACTGTTTGGAGTATATGGTCCGTTTGCATGAATGAATGCTAGGCCTGAGATAAGTGATCTGGAACAGATATTTTTTTGTTGTTCTTTATATCAGTTAAGTACTTCATACAAGAAGAGGGTCTCAGCTAAGTCTTTTACTGTCATGAAAGTACTGGTCTGCTAGTATGGTTTTTACTGTAATTATAGGTGGTCCGTAAAATAAGAGGAGACTGATATATCTGAATCAATCTTTCAGATCTAAAGCATGCCTTCCCCACTTGAGGAAGAGTAAGAACCCCCATATCCTGAACCTTAGCCCACCTATGAATCTGAATCCCATATGGTTCAAAAATCATTGTGGTGAGTAGCATTCAGAGCCTTTGTTGCTATTTTTTGAGAACCATGTAAGCAGCTGGTGAAATGTGCAGGAGTGCCAGATCTTGTATCTTTAGCACTGTATACAGACTGGCACTGGCAGAAATTGTATTGTGGGAAAATGTAGCGCAGGTTTCATGGCCTCATATATTCTTTATGTTTTCAAGGTAAGAGTCTGTGCTTTTTCATGGGAATTGTTAAGACTACAGAAAATTTTCTGCTCCAAATAGAGACTGAAACCCAAAATCTGTTTTCTTACCGATTCAGCCTCACGTTTGTTTTAATATGGATAAAGCTCCATGTTGTCTTTTAATATGGAAATTAGTTTTGAGATGGGAAAGGAACTCCATGTTATCTTGAGGTTAGTGTTGCTCATTTTAAAACTGTGGAAAAACTTTCCATTTTGGACATTTGTCATATTAAACTCCAGGAAGTTCCAGTTCTTTCCCAGAAAAAGTTTCACTTCTCCAAGTAGATAGATGACAATGATTTAGAATTCCTACTCCCTGCCTTTTTTGTTTTCTATAGGATATAGTTTGGTCATTAACAGCTTGTATGCCTTAGGCCTCATGAAAAAATCGAGCACTCTTGTCAGTGTTCTGTGTATGAAAAGCATGACAAAACCACCATACAGCCAGACTTCAGTCATTATTTTTGGCAAAATGTGTGTAGCTCTCGTTTTATTGTAGTGAAAAGATGACAGTCTACAGTCTGTATCTGACAGGGGTGGCAGAGAAGGGAGAGATTCTGACGCTAGGAAGGTACTGTTTTGTCTCAAAAACCTTCTTTTTCCTTATGAACCTATTACCTTTTTTACCTTTCCTTGATAGTTATATTGATAGAGTGTAAACTTTTATCTTTTTTACACTTCTTGTCTTAGCTTATACCATTTCTAAATATGGGATGTCCATGTGTGTCTTGGGAATGGCAGAAGAATTTAGAGGAGAAGTTGCTGTCAATGCTTTATGGCCTAAAACAGGTGATTTTTTTTTTTATGGTACTAAAATATTGACTTTCTGTGTTTTGACTGTTGGAACTTGCTTTATTTGACATTTAATACACTTCAGACTTCTTCTGGAATTGACTCAGGAGAATTAGCAGTTCTTTTATATCATTTTGGTTCATCCTGCACGGGTGCTGGTCTTCATTCCTAGTTCTCACTAGACCATTGCCACTTTGATCTAAACTCATCTTCAGCTAGTTTGCAACCCATTCAACTCCTTCAGCTGGTTAAAGCATGTGTGTAGATTTGGCTTGTCTGTACTTTTTCTCATGCACTCAGAGTTTTGGTTTGAACAGAATCACCAAAGTATTAGTGTGCTTTCATTAGCAGATACTGAACATCTGTATATGTTGTACTCTTTAGAATTCCTGCTAGTTAAGTTGCCAGAGTTCACATGGAACTGACAAGATAGATACCTCTGTGAACGCAGAAATAGTTTAAAAAACCCTGTTCCTAGAAATTTTGGCACAGTGGAGTTCTGTGAAAAGTTGTTCACAGAACTATGTGATTGCAAGTTACAGGAAATTAAAGAGCTCTGTGGAAGAAAAGTAACTCAATGCTCCCACACTGTGTTAACATCAATTTATTTTCTATGGGTCTGTGGGAGTCAGGGCTGCTGTTCAAGATTTGGCCAGCTGTTTGCCAAGGAGGCCAGTCTCTTCACCCCAAACACATCTGTGGGCAGAAATGATACTGATGTTAAAATCAATACCAGACAGAGGGTAATCTTGCCCTTTAGTGGTGTAAACCCCATCATTGTGTTAGGAAACATTACAACAGCAGTGTCTTATTTCCTTAACCTAGTGCAGGGAAGGAAGAAGCAAGAAGAGTAAAAGATATGAACCAAGATCCTCTTTTGAGGATGGTGCTCCAATGTAAGAAGTATTTGTACACAGGCACTTTTTCAATGTTTTCCTGTTAGGAGTTGCAGGCCCCTTTTTACTTGTAGTGCAAACCGGAACTCTCTGATCTGCTTTCTCTAAAGTGAGAAATATGAGCAAAACTTAAATATTTCAGACAAAATCAGCTGAGTTTCTTAGCTAAAATAGGTGATAATCAATTGGACACTTGGGTTAGTGTGTCTGACAGACTTGGTTGTTTTTCATTGGTCTGGATGCTTGCATCTTAAATTCTTCCAGTAAATGGATGCCTCATAATTCTTCTCACTCTATGAGTTTTACCTATAGAAATATTTTGGTAAGGGATAGACCTTTTTTGAATTACAGTTATACTGTTCATGATAATTATATCATCACAAAACCTGTACTGTTTCAAAGAGGATAAGGTCTTCATTTTTGATGTACTGAAGGCAACTTGCCTTCAGTAACCTGTGTAACTTCGGGGTCTGGATTGCCTTCCAGTGGAGTCAAAGCTCACCTTTCAGGTTTCAGGTTTGTGTTGTACTTTTTAATTCTGAGGCAGTTAGAAGAAATATGAACTTGCTTCCGCATACTTGCGTTTTGAGTGCTCCAGGAAAACCTCAGAAAAGTTTCAGTGAAGATTTCTGAGGATCTGTGTGATCTGGAACAGAGCATGAAACGTGATTCTTGAAGTCTTTAGCTCCCTAGACCTCACGCCCATCCCCCTGTCTTGTCTTTAAAATGCCACTGCTAAATGGGTTTTATATCTCCTCAGAATCCTGTGGGGGGGAGTAATTTGGTTTTTCATTAACAGAGGTGACCTTTTACCTACCATTGTGTGGGTTTTTTACGGTCACTGACTGATCAAACAATGTATGTTGTCTGTGGGAGCTAGGGACAGTAAAGGAATTAATCCACAATATGTCGTTCAGAGACATGGTATGAAGCTGCAGACAACACTACCAATTTCACTTATTTTTTCATGCAAAAGATGTTACAAGATTACAGGTGTCTTTTAAGTGCACATATTTACATTCTGCATAGGCACATTATGTGCCCCCTCCACAGCTTTCTGACTTTCCAACACCTTCTTTCTGATTCTAGATACGGTGGAATAAACATCCACTCATCCATGGAAATGAGTTGGTGCCTTTATGGGTCCCAACATACCATTGAAAGCTAAAGAATTTTTTTCTGCAGAGACCAGCTGGTTACACTAAGTCTATTTTGCAATGTAGCTGTTTTCACCCACCCATCTGAATAATTTGGCCTCCTGTTTTTCATGGCGAGGGAAAAAAGGACCTGTCAGAATTTCACTACCTGCTCACAATGGAAATTTTTTCAGAGGGATGGCTAACTTTATAAGCAGAAGTTACATTAAGTCTTATGTTGCATATTTGAATACATTATTTCTTTCTCATGTTTGCATATACTGCAGCACTCCAAATAGTACCAGTGTCTCAGATGTGGTCTGTTATTAAAGAATGTCTAGATGGTATTAAGTAAACTTCTGCAAAATCTGACATTCTTATGGGGGTGAAGTAGGAAACCCGAACAAAAGAAAGCCATATCTGTCTTTCTCTTGTGCACTGCAGTGCCATTCTGTCCTTGGTAACACATCTGTACCTGCTAAAATAAGTTAGAGGAGAACACTGCAGGAACTGCCACTTGTTAAGGAGTGAAGCTAATACCTGTTCCCCACAGCATCCTGCAGTACATGAGGCTTGGAAGTGCAGGAAGATTCAATTTACAAATGAAAACGTTATCTATTCTAGTAAATGCTTTTCTAAATGAAGATTTCTCTCTGGGAAATGCTGCAAAGTATTTAAAAAAGTAATTAGGCTTTCTGTAGAATTCAAGGTATGCAAAAGAGCTTTTTATTTGATGAATCCATTCTTGCTCATTCATCTTAAGACTGTTAGAAACATTGGATGAGCTCTCAAAGTTTGTATAAATCACTGATGCCTCCAGGAAAACCAGTGTGTCCTCAAGTATAAAGGAGGATAATGTGTGAATTCTCTAGTACTAAAAATGGTCTTTCGAGATGTTTCTCTTCCAAAAGTGAGAAAGTTAACTACTTTCTTGTGGTCATCCAGAGAGATAGTGTTACAGACTTCCACCATATCTAAAATAAGTTGCAAAGTACTTAGTTTAGAAGTCCACTATAATTTCATACAAATGTGTTTAACCTCAGTGTTAGTATGGATGCCTGGATCTGTTCATTTTACCTGTGACAGTATGCTGGTAATAAGATGCCAAGAGCTCTCCATTTATCTAAAAGTGAAAGAGAATGCCTTTCAGAAGGGCAATCCCATCACAAAGAGCACAGAGGAATAGTAGAGGTGTCCTGTGACAAAACTGGAAGTCTCTTCATGTGCTTTAGAGGAAAACCAGCATCACTTTATGTGAAACGAATATAACAATGTGCAGTCAGACTACTGTTTGAGACCTTTTTGCTTTAGTCTGTGCAAATAGGCTGACTGTGCTCAGAAGAATAATTGTTGACACTAACAGAGACGTGGTAGAAATGTGGGCCAGGAAAAGTGAGTGGCTTAATCAATCGTCAGAATAATGGAATATATTTGGGTCAACAGAAGCCAGTAAATTTCATCAGAGTATTTGACAGAAATATCCTCTGAACTGTTGGTAGTTATTAAAAAAAAAAAAAAAAAGTTGTGCAGGGCAGATAGCATTTCAGAGGACTAAAGAAAGGCAAATTTATTTTCTATCCTGAAAGATGAGAAAAAGACTTAGGGGATACCTACCTGTATGTACAGCATATCTATTTGTCACTTTTTATTTAAATGTGTATTTATAGCAGTTCACTTGATTTGAAAAAAAGAGAGGCTGAGGTTGGTTAAAGGTAAATGAAACCTAGGGACTAATCCTGACCACAGAAGAGTAAAATAAGGGGGTCAACAAGAACATCTACATACCTTTGCACTTTCCTAGTAAACACTTGGACAGGAGTTCTCTGGCCAGCACTGAAGACTTTTCTGTTTTCCCAGTTCCTACTTTGGAAGGTGAATGATCCAGCTCAGATAGATATGTCTTGCACAGTGCCTATTTTTTGCTCATTAAGAAATGTTGGGATCATTTCTGCATCAAAATTGCTCTTACTTTGTGTGGAATGGAGGCACCGAAAGGAGGAAAAAAGTGATGTAAAATCAAGTTTATTGTTCTGCTTCCATGCTCTTCTGTCCCAAATGTAGGAAAGGATTTGCAAGTCTGTCCCAAAACTTGACGGTAGAGTGTTGAGTCTTAAAAAGCAGATGGAAAAAAGCAGAACTGTACGAGGGGAAAAAAGTAACTTGGCAAGTGTAGAACACTACAACACTACATCCTTTCTGTGGAATAGGATGAAAGAAAAATGGAATGGATACCTCAGCCTGGAAGAGCAAATTACAGACTTGGACTGCATCCAACCTAATCTTCCCCTGACATTCCCTCGGATCCTGTCACTGGTCACCACAGAGAAGAGATCAGTGCCTGCCCCTCCTCTTCCCCTCACAAGGACGTTGTAGACTGCAATGAGGTCTCCTCTTCTTCAGGCTGAAGAGACCAAGTGACCTCAGCTGCCCTTCACCATCCTTGTTGCCCTGCTTTGGACGCTAAGAGCTTAATGTCTTTCTCATGGGAGTTATCAAAAGGCTAAAATTAATCATTGAGATTTTCAGTGTAATAATCATCGTAGGGAATACCTCTAATGGCTCAGGTATCACACATTCACTTTGAGGAAAATAGTTGTCCTGTTAGTTTTTCATGACCTGAATAACCCTCGAAATCCAGAGGGGGCGGGGTGGGGTGACCACTGATAAATAGATAGGGGGATGTGAATGTCATAAAACATTCTGCCCTTTTTGATTCCTTTAGTAGCTTCCTAGTTTTCACTGTTGCTTGTAAAGAGTTATTTGTTGGTTGGGAGTATTTCATAGCTTTTGTCTTCCTACAGTTTCCTTTTGCATGAAAAGAAAATTAAGTTTGTATACTTGCGAGAGAAACGGGAATTCCGTGTCATCAATGTTTAAGCTTTGTTTCCTTACTGTTCAAACTTTCTAGCCATACATACAGCTGCTATGGATATGCTGGGAGGAGCTGGAATAGAAAAACAGTGCAGGAAAACAGATATCCTGGCAGATGCTGCATACTGCATTTTAACAAAACCAAAAAGTTTCACTGGAAATTTCGTTATTGATGAAGTTCTGCTGCGAGAAGAGGGAGTTAAGGATTTTGATGTCTATGCAATTGCACCAGGTAAAAGAGACCTTTAAGATGAGAAGTGAGTTCAGGAAGGAGGGAAGGACATATGGAGAATATTAATGTCGTTTTCTTTCCAGGGGCTCTTACATTAGTCTGTAAAAAAGTTGCTTTGCCTCAGCTTTGAGGATGTGCCTTCCTGGAAAGCACGTATGCGTCCACTGGGAGTCTAATAATCAAATGCCTATTAAATTATATTAAGAAATTCTTTAATGAAAAAAAAATCTACTTGCATTGCAGATGTATGTATTAGTATTTAACAGCTAGTGAGATAGATTTTTATTTTTTTCATTCTTCAAATGTTCTTCATTGCAACTTTAAAAGCCCTATAGGTCAGATTTTAAAGGAACAAAATTCTAAACATGTTATTTCATGCTATGTTTTTTCCTTCAAGTTGTAGTTTATTTACTTATAGACTTGGCTGTAATTTCATGTGAAATTGATTCCTTCTGTCCAACTTTACTTGGATTTATTATTACATTTTTCCTTCCTGTTAGGTCACCCTCTGATACCTGACTTCTTCTTGGATGTTGAGATTGACACTACAGCTGTGAAACAAAAAGGATATGGTAGGGAAAGCACTGTGTGTACAAGTCCGTAATTTCTGACAGTAATGAGTGCGCTCTCTATTTCAATTTGTTTTTCTTTTTTCTCCTAAGAGTTTGGACTCCACTCAAGGTATTTAGCAGAAATCCTTTTCTCATTTGCAGGGTAATATTTATGGAAGTAACTCTGTACTAAAAACTAGAGAAAAAAATCCTACCTCCTGCAGGACTTTTGTGGTATAAAGTTAATGCATTATTTTGAAAAATCCTTTTTTAAACATCTGAATGTGGTAGTAAGAAGGTCACATGTAAATATCACTGGAAATTAAATAGCAAATGGCACATTTTGCAGGAATATCTCCTTTGCCTTGTTAAATGTATACAAAAAGTATAAATGAATCTTCCGTGGCTTCTTAGATGAAACATGCACAGTTTACACAATTAAAATAACTCTTAGTTGAAATGCAGAAGCCTTTTTTAGAAAAGCTTTGGTTTTGCTTTTTCAGAACTGTAGTGTGTCAAGTTAGAGGGCACCTAACAATGCTGAACAGGTTTCATAGGAGTGTTGAAATAGGGATAAGAGAAGGGCAGAGAAGGCAAAGTTTGAACAGTTCCTTTCTGTTGGAAATACAGAGCTGTTGAGTTGTTGAACTAGGAGGATTGTTCTGCCAGAGATGGATGGCGTTAGTTCCCTGGGCCTCATGATACCGGGACTCACAGAACAGACCTAACTGTTTTTTGGTACTGAAGACACCTAGGAGACTTTCAACAGCATTTTTAGAGGCTGTTCAGCTTGACTGACTTTGTAAATTGCAAATGCTGTCCTGTACTGTTAAATGTGCACATTCACTGTCATACAATAGAATGCTGATCAAAGCAGCAAATTGAGGCTTAGAAGCCTTTGCAGAAGAATTCATGAAAATATACATGTTCTTTACAAGATAGACAAGACAGAAGTATTTTGAGATGAAAGTGATGGCTATTAAAGACACTGTTTGGTTTTTTTTATTGTTGTCAGGAGTACATGGATTACATTAAAAAACTGCTGTGTAAGCATTTGTAATGAACTGAGAACAGTAAGAATTTTGCTGTCGTTTTATTTCCACTTTTCTTTTGACATATTAGGAAGTGAAATACATTTCAGAATTACATGTAATGCTCTACACCTATTCAGATCCTAGGTGCAGAAAGCATCCTTTACGGGTATAAATACTAAAATGGGAACATAATCATTTACTCTACTTTGAAGCTTAAATCTTTTCAAATGGAGCTCTGAATGCATATTTCTCCATTCATTTTTAAAGTGGTTTTCATTTGAAAGAGAAAAATAATCTTTCTTGTAGGTGCTGCCCAAGCATTGAAAGAGGAGAAGACAGAATCTGCTCCAGCCAAGCCATCCGGGCCTGTTGCAGAAACATTCAGAGTTATTCAGGGGGCCATGACGGAAGAGAATGTGAGAAGTACTCAGGGCGTCTTT